ACATGTAATATTACTACTTAAAATTATAGCAGTTAATGGGTTAATTAAAGTATTTCAAATTTCAAACAGATCAACCAAATAGTTTATAAGTTATTCTATTTGTTTTCCCCGGAGAGCGATTATTTAAACATCTGTGCTTGCCCAAATAGTTACTTTAGAGGTATTTTATAAATCGCAATCGATTCTTTAAGGCTTCATTTAAAAGGTTCATTAAAAAAACTTTAACCGATTAATTGCCAATAACAAGAAACAAGCTGAAATATTGCACCGGACAGTTCTTCACTCCACTTTTCAGTGGCGGTATTTTACGAGTACCATCATTTTAACAGGTTGTAACTTTTTACTTCTTCACAATATTTTTATAATTTGTTCAAGTTTCCGCTATTAATGTTAATAAACAGTGGAAATATGGTGTTAAGAGAAAAAATGCTATCCGGTTTCCTATTGGTCATAGAAGGTTCTGGCTTTTTTAAAAGTGTTTTTTAACCAGCTTTTCATTGATCCTACATAAAAGTGAATGACATAAAAAATGTCAACGTTATTAAAAATATTTATAAGCTAAAAAGTAATCCCTTTTTCAAACTGTTTTTTAATAACAAATTTATTAAAATCTTTAGATTTTTTTAATATATCTTAAAAACGAAGCCTCAAAGAATCGATTGCAATATACAAAATACCTCTAGAGTGGCTGTTTGGACAAGTTCAGTTGTTTAAATAATCTCTCTCCGGGAAAAATAAATTGAATATCTTATAAACTATTTGGTCGATTCGTTTGAAATTTAGCACACTTTAATAAATTATCAACTGTCACAATTTTCAATCGTTATATTACATGTCTATATATATATATATATATATATATATATATATATATATATATATATATATATATATATATATATATATATATTATATACAGATTGAACGAAATAAATTCGGAACATACGAAATATTATGTATTTCGGCTCAATTCTGCTGTAAGTGGTTGGCCGACAAAAGGTTCAAAAGGTTGTCAAATAATTATATTATAAAAATCCAATACTTCAACGGGCTGCTGGATTCTGAAATCATACAAATTGAAAGCTACACATAAATCTACGATTTTATTATGCTGTCAAACCACTTATAGTCCAGAAAATGAATCATTTCACCTCGCAATTTTTTCGTCCTGCGTGGATTGACTTGAAATTTTAACAGAAGGTAGGTAATAGCCTAAGGATCAAAATCTATATCGAACCAAAGTGCGCCAAAGCCTTGGGGGTGGTTGCCACCCCATCTCGGGGGTGAACATTTTTTTTACGTTTTAACTACAGGTTTCCATTAAAAAAGTGATTCTAAACAAAAAAATGTTCTATACATTTTTTTTTGTAAAACTGATATTTTTCAAGTTATTCGCGATTGAAAGTAACAACTTTTAGACGGAAAAATCGACGTTTTTAATCGATTTTTCGCGAATAACTCGAAAATGGTGCATTTTATCAAAAAAAATGTAGAGAACAAATTTGTAGCTTTTAAAAAGACAAATACAATTCATTTTTTTAAATGTTTTTGTGATATAATAGGAACCGAAATAGGGCCTATTAATGTTCAGCGGTTTTCTTCAAATACCAAATTTGAAAGATTTTTGGAAGAAAACTCACAGAACCTTTTTTAAAGAGCATAAATAGACCTATCATAAAAAAAATACTCTAGCTCAAAAATTGAGTGAGTTATGATGAAAATAAGGTTCAATACCTCATTTTTTACGAAAAAATCGATGAAAACAACCCCCTAACCATCCCCATAATTAAAATCGATCTTCACCCTTCTGCAATTCTCTTTGTACATGTATTGTTAATACGTCCAAGAAGTTTAACCCATTTAAAATGCTTAGTTTTAGAAAAAGTACAGCTTACAGCGAGAAACGATTTACAATTTCATATTTTTTACCCTTCTTTTTTTAAATATCCCCGAAAATACTGAATATATGAAAAAAATAAAAATGTACTAAATTGTAACTTTTTTAATGACTAAAATTTTCCTTTATTTAGATTTGTTGTACAATGCATATTTGGTGAGATATAGCCGTTTAAAACATCGATTTACGATCAAATCAACCACCATCTTTTTCGAGCCCTTTAAACTCACCCCATTTAAAAACCAAGGGTTCCAAATTGGCAATATTGTTAAGCAAACAACATTGTTGCGAGGCAGATAGTTGAACGATATTTTATACAATGTCTATACCCAGGTATGGATTTATTTTTGTCCAAGTTTTATATTGGTCCACTATTTCAAATGTAGTTCAAACAGACATATATTAAATTGTATGATCCGTTTTAAATTCGTTCAATCTGTATATTATATATATATATATATATATATATATATATATATATATATATATATATATTATAGAACCGCAGATTCTATACTTTAAAATATTACGATTTAAGCCAACTTGCTTTAATAAAATGTTGATATTAAAAAAGATACAGGGTGTTAAGTGGAAATTTAAAATTTTATTTTTCTCTATAACTTTCATGTTTGTAAACATTTATATACAAAAATTTACAGCTGGGTACTATTTAATATCTGGAATTATAATTTGATGAATACTTTGATATAGCTAATAGAGGGCGCCACATATTCCACATACGTGGCATAAATTTGCACTTAACCTTTTTGTTCTTTAAGCTACCGGTATTTAAAAGAAAAAATATTAAAGATACATTATTTTAACAAAAAAAAAGGTATACTTGTTAATAACTTCAAAACTCAATAATAGTTTTCGAGATAATCGCATTTTACAAATCAACTGCATAATTCTGATTTAACGCAATTACTCCAGGCAATGAAAGAAAAATAGATAAAAACATCAATACTTCTGAATTTTGTTATAAAATACCTTAATACTCAAACTTAAAGTCAATAATTAACCAAATCTTAAATAAAATAAATATATCAGCAGGATAATTAATAATAGGATTTGATAAAATAACAGAATAATTGGATTTTACATCAAACATTTTATTTTAATTTGTATTAAATTAAAGTCATAATCAAAACATTTTATTTACAAACCAAATTAAGAAATAGTTAAACTAAATAACATTAAACTTTTTGTCAAAGTAAGTGTTCACTATGTCCACCATTTTCTTTAATCCATTTGTCAATACATTCCATAAAATATCGTCTCATATTAAATAGCTTAGTCAGTGGTTCTAAAGAAACTGCTGCACTATTTATTATAAGTGTTATAAGTATAATAATAAGTAACTTTTTGAAATTTTTATGAATTAAATAATTATATTAATATCTCACCACAAGGATATGACTAGCATGAACTATCCAACGTTCAGGAAAGTTTAAAGAAGTATTTAAATACTGTCTCACTCCGCTTTCTCTGTAATGTAATGGTGCACCATCTTGTAGAAACCATACATTTCGCCTTAAGTTTGATGACAATTCTTCCAATAAATCAATAAAATCATTTTGTAAAGAATGTAAATAAATCTCACCATTCAAATTGAGAGGTAATTCGCATATCCGTAAAACATCATTCAAAATTGATATTTAAAATGCATGTCCTATGGTTTGGAACCATTGATAATTATTTTTTACGGATATGCGAATTATCTTGCAATTTGAATAACGAGATTTATTTACATTTTTTATAAAATGATTTTATTGATATATTGAAAGAATTGTCATCAAATTTAAGGCAAAATATGTGGTTTCTACAAGATGTTAAACCATTACATTACAGAAAAAGAGGAGTGAGACAGTATTTAAATACAGCTTTCCTGAACGTTGGATTTTTTATGGTAGTCTTATTCTTGTGGTGAGATATTAATATAATTATTTAATTCATATCATTCATTCATTTCAAAAAATTATTTATTATTATACTTATAACACTTATAATAAATACTGCAGCAGTTTCTTCAGAACCAATGACGCTATTTAATATGAGACGATATTTTATGGAATGTATTGACAAATTAATTAAAGAAAATGATGGACATAGTGAACACTTACTTTGACAAAAAGTTTAATTTTATTTACTTTAACTATTTCTTAATTTGGTTTGTAAATAAAATGTTTTGTGACTTTAATTTAATACAAAACATAAAATGTTTGATGTAAAATCCAATTATTCTGTTATTTATCAAATCCTATTATTGTATTCTGCTGATATATTTATTTTATTTAATAATTCATTAACTATTAACTTGATTAAAGGTATTTTATACCAAAATTCAGAAGTATCGATGTTTTTCTTTAATTTTCTTTCGTTGCCTGGAGTAATTGCGATAAATCAGAATTATGTAGTTGATTTCTAAATTGCGATTATCTCGAAAACTGTTGAGTTTTGAAGGTATTAATAAGTATACCTTTTTTTTTTGTTAAAATAACGTATCTTTAATATTTTGTATTAAAAATATCGGTAACTTAAAGAGCAAAAAAGTTACGTGCAAATGTATGCCACATATGTGGCGCCCTCTATCAGCTACATCAAAGTATACATCAAATTATAATTTCTGATATCTAATAGTACCCAGTTGTAAATTTTTATACATAAATGTTGACAAATATAAAAGTTATAGCGAAAAATAAAATTTTAAATTTCCACTTTAACACCCTGTATCTTTCTTAATATCAACATTTTATTATAGCAACTTGACTTAAATCGTAATATTTTAAAGTGTAGAATCTATGGTTTCTTTTTGTACAATTACTTAAGGACCACCCTATATATATATACAAACTGCAAATGAGAGGCAATCCAGTGGAACAAATAAATTACCGACGTTAATATATATATATATATATATATATATATATATATATATATATATATATATATATATATATATATATATATATATATATATACCTTTGTACATTTTTTTGTGTGATGGATGTGTATACGTGTATATTGTGATTTTTTTTATAAAATATCATAACCTATACTTGCAATTTATTTCTGACTATTAATTTAATATGTATATGTATACCTGCTGTACTCATATTGTAAATATCTGTTGCACTTGAGATTGGAACGGATGCACCATAAGCAGTGTGAGCTGTGGTATTTTGTTGCTGATTCCTCCATGGTTCAAATTCCTCAGACCCTACTGCTCCTTCTCCCACACCTAACTGTTCCTTAGGACCATTGGACACTAAATAGTAATTATAATTAATATCTCAGAATAAATATATCTGAATTTAGATTAACGATTTAATTTATTTTTAAAATAAAATCATTTGCACGTCGTAACATTTAAATCAGTAATTTTTGGTTTATGTAGATGATGTAATTGTATTAGTAAGAGACAAAAATGAAGTTAGTATTATTCATTAGCACATTTACTGAGCCATACATATATACAGTATATGTAAAAGTTTATTGTCGGTATGGACATTACGTGAAATGGAGTAAGAAACACCTGTTTAAAAAGAGAGAGGTATATTAGGTCCGCCCTTAAAATCCCCGAAAATGCATGAGTTGAAATAATAAAAAAAGGGGAAGTTCAACGTTACCAAACTTATTGGTTTTATTTGACCTGTTGTCTTTTTAGCATTTGAACAATGTTCTAAGATAATCAAATTTGGGCGAAATAGATTTAAATAACAGCTTACTGTTTATTGGGAATATGGCACAATTTTACTTTACAATAAGTGTAATATAAAATTTTGATTTCCACTTCGGAAATCGTTTTATATAAATACAATTTATTTATGTTTCATATTTTAAGTACGATTTCCGAATTAAAAATCTAAACATCAAAATGAGCTTTATTTTAAGTCACGTTGTGCCTTATTCCCAATAAAAATAATAAACTGCATATGACGCCACAATAAAAAAGCTTCATACAAAATTATTTGGCGACGTCTCGTCTCGCGTGGTCAAAACACCGAATGAAAGTAGGGACAGCGGTAACGAGTAGAGGTGGGTCGTTGACGTTTTTATCTTAAACCGATTTTCGTAAACAAATAACTATGATTGTATAACAGTAGTTTCAAGTAAGAGAGTACCTACATAAACAAATATAATGGCTATTATCGTTTATGTGTATATTTATTGAAGTGAAAGAAACTAATGAATGATATATTTATTATAACTTGAAAAATTAATTAAACAAATAGTAAATCGTATTTACATTTACATTACACATTATTATTAAATCGCGAATCGTCTAAATTGACATTTAAAAACATAAGTTTTTCTACTTTACTTCTTGTTAACCGTGTTCTTCTTTTATTTAAAATTAAACCAGATTTTAAACATATACTATATTTAACTTATACTATTTATACTTAACCACTATATTTAATGAATATAGTGGTTAAGTTAGGATATACATGGCGATGGTTTTTCCACCATTGTAATGGACTCTCAATACAGGTGTACGTTTAGATGAGTCATGTCCAATTAATTGATCAAAAATACACCATGGACTTAAGTCATCTTTATCGGTTTCTTTTTCTTGTACTGGTTGATTTTCAATAGTACAATCTTCTTGTTCATTAATTATAAAAGTAACCAGCTTCTTAACTCTTTCTTTTGTTTTTTTAGCTTCATTTTTATCAGAAAATCCCTGCATTTTAAATTGTGAATCCATAAATGTACATAATGACAATGTGCCACTCTGTTCTATCCCTCTAAATCTTTTTGCTAAACCCGATATTAGTAATTGTACTACGTCGGATACTATGGATGTAAGGTTACCGTTTGCTAAAGGTTTATTGCAAGATTCTTGCAGGAAGCGTACCATAATAATCACTGAACTACCCTTTAAGTATTTTTGGCCACTCATTGTACTTGATATTTCTTTAAAAGGCCGTAAAATTTGGGAAAGTTGAGATGATTTTTAGGACCCAAACAAAAGGACAAATTCAACACCTGCTCAGAGAACTACCCAAAAATATGATGTTAAATTGATAATTACTACATTATTTTACAATAATTAAATCCAACATCTGCCTTTCTCAACAAATCAAGTCTGTTTAATGAAATGAATCTATCAGTGATTAGTGAACTGTTTGTAGTGCTATCAGTGTTAAAAGTATAGAAAACTGTTTGTAGTGTTATTATTCACTGTTATCGGTTTTAAAATTGTAGAAAACATTATTCAATATCTTCATGATATTTAAAAATGTCATTACTATGAAATATCCCTCTATGGTTGCAGATGCAGATAATAAAAAGTTTATTATCTGCATCTATCAACACATAACTGTTCAGTCCATTCTGGTTTTAGATTCTGTATGGACCTTCATTTTTCTGTATGGACCTTTCATTGAGTAGCTGATAGATACACTTATACGATCCCGGTGTACGTCAGATCTATTTCAGGGACGCGACCCTGCTCACGCAAGCCATGGCTATCCCTCAAAACCAAATAGGGGAGGTCATGTCCCGATCCAAGTTTCCTACCAAACACCCAAAAATCCTTGCCGATTATCCAACCCACAGAAACCTATTGCGTCAGAAAAATCATTGGGGAAGGCAACGGGAAACTACCCCAATTATTTCTCCCGAGTAAAGTTAACATGGCTCAATACAATCGTAACGGAAGTATTACTGATCATGGATCACGGAAACCAAGATCCGGCAGGGAAGGGGGCGCACCAGACTGTAGGGGCTCCCCGGTCGTCATCACACGAAATCCCTACAATTTTAGAAGTACGACAACTTTAAAAATGTCTAGCACTACAATCAGATTAGGTACCTGGAACGTTAAAAGCCTCTATGCAGCAGGCAAGCTCAGTAACTTAGTTCAAGAGGTTAAACGTTTAAAAATTGATATAATGGGCATCAGTGAGCTCCGGTGGCCTGGAACGGAAATATGTGAACAAGATGAAGGCACGCTATACTATTCTGGAAGTGCAGAAGATGACACACATCATAAGAATGGAGTTGGCTTATTTATAACGTATAAATTTAAGAAATATGTGAAAAATTTTATACCAGTGAACGACAGACTAGCAATACTCCAATTAAATAGCAAACCATTTAATGTCAATGTTATCCAGATATATGCCCCTACTGCAGAAAAGAAATATGACAATGATGTCGAATCATTCTATAGCCAATTAAAACAGACACTTAAAAATCTAAAAAGTAACGAAGTCACATATATTATTGGAGATTTTAACGCAAAAATTGCCAAGGCCGAAGATCTGACCTGGTAGGTGAATATGGACTAGGGGAGAGCAATGAAAGAGGCGATAGATTATATCAGTTCTGTCAAGAACATGACATGATAATCGCAAATACATGGTTCAAATTACACAAAAGAAGGTTATACACATGGAGGGGACCAGGAGATAATTCATTACATATGATTAGAAATTAGATAGACTATATTCTGGTAAACAAGAGATTTAAGAATGGCGTCACCAGAGTAACGACATATCCTGGTGCAGATATCGGTTCAGACCATAACCCAATAACTGACATCAAAGTGAAGCTCAAAAAAGTCCAAGAAAGCCCCAAAACACCAAAATTAAATATCTTAATATCCAACAAAACGTTAGTAGAAAATGACTTAAACAATGAGCTAAAGAAATCAATAAATGAAAACAACACAGCAATATGGAACACATTTAAAGATCTTACCTTGAAAGTAATAGAAAAATATTCAACAATGTTACACAGGCACAAAAAATAACAACGGATGACTGATGAAATCCTGGAATTAATCGAGCAGAGAAGGAAACTGAAAGGTGACAAGACAGAATATAAGGAAAAACAGAAACTAATTAAACAAAAAATAAAGGTGGCTAAAGAAAAATGGATGGAGGATAAATGCAAGGAATTAGAAAAGTTGAATGAAAAACATGATACGTTTAATATGTTTGAAAAAGTTAGAGAAGTAGCTGGTCTTTATCATAAAAAAACTCCACATACTATAACCGATTCGTTGGGAAAAATGATAATAGACGAAACATGAAATTCGAACAACCTGGTGTAATTATATAAGTGAAGTATAATGATGATAGACCCGAAGAACCGGAGACTTTAGTTGAAGGCGAAGGACCAGAAATACTAAAATCAGAAATACTGCATGCTATAAAGTTAGCAAAGAACAAGAAAGCCGTTGGCCCTGATAACATACCGACAGAGATGTTAAAGCTTATAAATGAGGAGAACATTGTAATACTGGTCAAACTTTTCAATGATGTTTATTCGACTGGTGATATCCCTGAAGATTGGTTCTTCAAGTCCGAATTCATAATACTATCAAAAAAACAACGTCCGAAAAACTGTAGCGATTATAGAATGATAAGCCTTATGAGCCACACTTTGAAAATATTTCTACACATCATCCGCAGTAGAATCAGAGATAAATGTGAAGAAGATCAGGATGAAACACAATTTGGCTTCAGAAATGGACTGGGAACTCGGGACGCCCTCTTTGCACTAAATGTATTACTGCAGAAACGTCGAGATGAAAGGAAATACGTCTTTGCTGTATTTATTGACTATGAAAAGGCCTTTGATCGAGTGCAGTATCACAAATTAATTACAATATTAAAAGATAAAGAAGTTGATAGTCAAGACATACGATTCATAGAAAAGTTTTACTGGCGTCAAACAGCGACAGCTTGCATAAACGGAAAATCAACAGAAATATGTAAAATACAAAGAGGTGTCAGACAGGGTTGTATACTATCCCCACTGTTATTTAATTTATATTCAGATAGAATATTTAAAGAAGCGCTACATAATTTGGAATGGGGCGTGAAAGTTAATGGAATTCTGATAAATACAATCAGATATGCAGACGATACAGTTATTTTAAGTGATGACATGAATGGATTACAATGCCTTTTAAATGCCATTGATACAGTGGAAAGAGAGTTTGGCCTAAACATAAACTGTTCAAAATCAAAACACATGGTGTTTAGCCGTTTAGCACATCAAGATGCACGATATGTTGATGGTCATATTATTCAAAGAGTGTCCAGTTTTAAATATCTTGGTTGCCATATTCGTGAACAACTAGATCCAGATCAAGAGATAAAAAGTAGAATCGAGATAGCCCGCACGAGATTTTTAAAAATGAGGTCATTCTTCTGTAATGATAACGTGCAACTTCGAAAGCGCATGGTTAAATGCTACATTTGGTCAGTCCTCTTATACGGTGTCGAAGCATGGACATTAAAAATATCC